TGCGCGGACTTCATAATATAACAGTAGTTAGTACATATTATGTATGTTGATGGACTTAAACATATGTAATAATATCATACAGACTAAAGTGAAAGATAAAGAGATAAAAACATAATTCTATACAGACAAAAATTTTAATTAATATACATATGAATATACCGACACACGTCGTGCTGATTATTATCATAACCGTTAAAAATATCAATAAAACCAATTGACTTCTCGAGGACGAATCACCTCTACACAAAGAGTTAGACATATTAAAAATTAACGTACATTATTTTGGTTTCATTGATATGTATATTAAATATTAACTATATCCAATAGCCTAAACTTGTACGCAATAACAATACGTAATAACAGACAAAGAAATCGTGCTAAAAGAAAATAACGTATAATGTTCGCGTAAGAAATAAAATTACTCAACTCAATCTGATATGTTTTAAAAAGGAAAGAAGGTATACGGCTAAAGAAAACTGTACCTGTTAGGATACCCTGTTCTTTAAGATTATTTGTGACCTCGATGACTTGTTATTCTGGCAAATAGAGATTATCTTACCTTATCTACCAAAGTGAAAGAAAGTGAGGAAGAAGTTGTGGCTTTGAAAACTACTTTAAACGACAGAGTACTAGACAAATAAGAGATTCGTGAATGTTTCTTAATAGTTTATTTATTAGGTAACAAAATAGGTTAATAATAATAATCATTTAATCAGAACTCAGTATATTATGTTTCAACTATTTAGTACCTACCAGATTAATATTCTAAAGGCGCTTAGGCCACAAGTAAAAAAATGAAAGCCTTCAGGCTTTCCTTATGGATGATTAAGGAGCATGGGCCATGGCCCTGACCCTCCACGCTGGCCCAATGCGGACTGGCGGGTATTAACGACTGCAAATGCAGCCGGGACCAACAGCTTTCGAAGCTATTTTTTTGGTCACCCATCCCGTGACCGACACTTGCGAAAGATGCTTAGCAACAACGATCACGTGCCGCGGCACTTATCCACTACGCCACCGAGCTACTCAGATATATCAGCATATATCAGATTATCCGCAATCTATTCATAAAATGTCACTAGAACTTTATCTCATAACAAAATAATCTATCTATTTGTTGTTAGTCGTGTCACAACAGTCAGTACAACCACAGTACAACAGTAACTTTCAATGAACCTTTATTATGTTGCTGTTGTAAGCTTTACTGTTATATAACTGAGGTGTATATTTTGTTGGTTGTTCTTTAATAAATAAATAAAACTACTAGCCGTTTTCCCGCTACTTTACCCACGTATATTATAGCTCATGGCACTCACGTACGTTGTAACTTCCAATAGGTGAAAGAATTATCATGATCGGATCAGTATTTCCTACAAACAAACTAACAAAGTTAGAAACCCTATCTTTTAATTAATGATAAAGACAAGGTAGGGAGGTGACCATCTTATATATCTATGTATACTATGAAGATGTATAAAGAAATTCGAAATCTATTCACAGCGATTACTAAAATTGGTTTATAAGTAAACTGACGTTTCATAATTAATTCGATATAAATGACCAGTGAAGCGATGACTGATATATCTAGTTCGTGAATACAGCGACCTAGATTCATTCACTGGTATGAAGGAAATGAAAACAACATCGGATCAATAGGTAATATGATGCTAGTCTATATTAATATTATAATCAAGTAAAGTTTGTAACTTTATTTATTTGTATGGTGTAAATCTTAAGAAATACTGATCATTTCATGAAAATACTTCCACCTATCTTTACGCTACATGAAAAACAGCTACTATCTAATGACCTTTAATATTTGCTTATTAAACTAGACTTAAATTACCTGCATAGAGTATGCTGTCAAACGTTGTGGGATTCATCACGAGATAACTTGTAGTGTTTAAAGCTTTTCTAGTTAACACGTCATCGTCACCCCTTTTACGTTCGCACATCGAGAGCTAAAGGCAAGCTCAAGGACCTTCCTTGTGAATGTTTAAGGATGGTAAGCCATGACCCGACACGGACGAATTCAATGCGGATTGGAAAAAAATAAAAATTAATATACACACATTATAAATTGTAAAATTCATGTATTAGTAATGATTTTTTACACATACTTTTCGATTTAAGTATGATTTGTGTTTCTTGCGCATTTGGCATATTCTGTCTCAAATGAATAATGACGCTATCTCTCCCCAACAAACGTTTAGCCAAAATTTGGGTTGCATTTTATTCTTATCATATTTATTCTTATTAAAAACTTAGCAATTTCGAACTGTCTCATTATACACATAATGATATATGTAATTTGGAAAATTCATTAATAATATATTGTAGGTTTTACAGACCAACACAATTTATACTATTTTATGAAGCTAATGAACATAGCACGAGTGTTTACGACCGTGTATGTCATATTATATTTACAGACCATATGGTTACGAAACGTGATAAAAAGATACCCTCACGTGACCTATTACTCGATCATGTATCTTATTACATGCATATTTCAATTCACACCCAAACGCCAAGTGAAATGGACACATTTATATTGATTCTAACAAAAGTAAACAAATGTATTTGGAATCTAGCTTTTTAATTACGACTTCGTCTGAGAAAATTTTAGCCTATGCCACTCGCGTTCGCGCTATGGTGCAGTCTCCTGTAGTTAAAGCATTGAAATACACTATACTGATGATATTTCTAGGATACCGATATTAGTATATACTTACCATGCTACAATATTTCTCCTGGTTTTCGTTCCATTATTTCGGATTTTCAGGAATAATAATATTTTGGCGATATTGTGAAATTCTCTTAAACTACTCAAAACTAGATCAATTATCTTCTTCCTAAAAGTTTCAAGGAAGAAATTATCTTTAGTAATAAAGCCAAAAATACTCTCTGTTCTTTCTTCTATATTAATTGTATTAGTTATACATATATTTCATTTTTAGTACTTACACTACAAATGCTGACTAGAGAATTGTTATCAATCCAAATTCCAGTCACCACAAAATAGAAAAAAAAAACTCGTTCCTGTTGGAATTTATTTACATTACTTATTTTACATTATATTTATTGATCTGTATTTAAAATACATCGGCCGTGTAGTACTTGAAATTTTAGTTTAGTAATCTGACTTTCGTTTTGTAAATATCGCTAGCGATATAAGAGTTAAATAATTCTTGTAATATTAATGGAAGTTTGTGATAAATACTATGTTTTAAAACAGGGTATTTTTCTACGGTTATGAACCGACCAAATTTCATTCAAAAACATTGATTACCTTTTAATATCAAGTTATCAAAAAGTCAAGTAAAGATATCAAGTAGTCAAATGTTTTGATCTAAAGGATTTTTGTATAATCGAAGTATTTTTAGAAACTGCTATTCATACTAATTTCTTTTTCGCCTAGCAACGTTATCCTTATATTGTAAGGATTTACTTGGAATGTTTTAAAAAGGTAAATCCTTTTCATAAATCTGATGAAAGCAAACTGTAAAGATAATTTCAAAATATCTATCGAAATCTACATTTACATTAATATATCAAAGAGAAAAGACTACGAAGTTTTTTTTTTAACTTTAGGATATTCATCTCATAGAATAAATAAAAAATAGATTAAAAAAACCACTTTAATTCTAGGACTCCATTTCATTTTTAATGGACGGTTCTTTCTAACAGAAACGATTGTCCAAGAGGGAGCTGAAAACATTGTGTATGTAATAGTGTATTTCTTAAAGTATGCTCTGCAAGCCCAAGGCACAAAGTTTAAGTTGGTTGTCCGTGAAAATAGGATCTTTCGACATATGATCGGATTTAGGTAAAATATGTATGCGATTCATTAAACGACACAAATAAAACAAAGTTTTGCTGTTTTATATTGGAGCTTCAGATACACACACAGCTTCAGACAAACGGATTATTAAAGGGTTTTTTTTCATTTACACGTTCGTTGGTCGTTTGTTTGTTTGCATCGAATAGTCTCCAAAACGAATGAACCGATGTTAAAAATTATTTCATCTACGGGTAGCTACATCATACGAAGCCATAATTTACGCGTGTGAAAACAGCTAGCTAGCTAATATTATAATACGAATGTTTGTGAGGATGTGTGGATGTATGTATGTATATTTGTTACTCTTTCATGCAAAAACTACTGAACCGATTTTGATGAAATTTGGTATACAGATAATTCCAAGCCTGAATTAACATATAGGATATCATATCATTCCATTTCATATCCTCTAACCAGTTCCCTAGGGACCACGCGGGCGAAGCAGCTTGCGGAAAGCTAGTACATATATAAATAATAATCTGAATTAATGTATTAACTTCTTAGCTAATTATTTACTGAATTAAAAACTTTAAGTCTAAATTGGGTTATCTTTTATTCCAAAGAAATGTCGGGATCATAACAAAGGTTGGCAGAGATAGTTAACACTCGGTAATCAATAATTAATAATCTTGACAACTCATTAAAAACAAAACGGATTTATTTCGAGATATCAACAGTTAATTCTATTAGCGAAAGTACACTAATTAAATATGTCTTAATATTATCTAACATCATCACTTATTATTATTTGTTTCAAACTCACCTAGCAACTCTATCATGATTATATTTTGTAATTTCTTTAAAACGAATCTGTTGATGTTAAGCTTAAGATTAAACGCCTCGTTAAAGTTTTTACTCAAATTACACGATAAAAGAATTAAATTCAATAATACAATATCAATTTATATTGTATAGATTATATTTTTATATATAGGAGACCAAATATCAGCAGTGCTATTTATTTATTTCTTAAAGCATCGTAGAGACAACAGAGGTTTTATTTCATTGAAACTGTCACAGCGCTGTGCTCAACATCGAATTTAAGGTTGATAGCATACCGTATGATTTGTCCAATAACATGTCCAGTATATAATAAGGATAATATTCTTTACTTATATTTCATTGATAATTAATTGTTTATTTTCTTTCTTTTCAGATAAAGATCGAAAGCGCCCATTGGTTAATATAAGACTAGAAAAGTTTTTCTTTCAAACTACAAAATGGTTAATGTAAGTATATGTTGCATTAAAGTTGATAAATATACGTATAAGCACCGTAAAAGAATGTGGGACTACCAGTGGCCAAATGCAGTTATTGTTGAATTGTTTGTTGTATTGTTGTTTTTATTATGAACAATAAAATTGCTAATAACAAAGTAGCAGTATAATTACTAAAATATACGACATTGTAAATTAGTCAACTATCGAATTGGCAATGTAAGTACAATAAACAGATGATAACAAAATGCGTACGTTTGTCAAAGTCCAGACGTGTTTCGTCGTCAGGAAGTATTAGTGTTACAAATAGTTAAAATGTTTACTGCATTGGACGCGAATTTGCTCCTCTGGGCAAGGACAAATTTAATTCTAGATTTGTTAAAGTTTTAACATCTTTTAATCAGCCCAGACGCCAACAAACACAGACCGAGTCCATTTATCTGTGGCTATATGCTAGGGAGTTTTAATAAAGCTACGCCCGCTGGCGAATTTTGACACCGTGACTTATGGTTTCTATCATCGTGCTCCTGGCATTTCTATGGAAATCACCCAATTGTTACTGTGCTTGTGCCACCGAAAAGATTCAAAAGAACGATGACAATAGACAAAATATCACGGTGACATAAAATCACCAGTGTACGCGTAGCCTAAAGGTGTCTGCGACGGTAATCTTTGCCTAAGTCATTAAGATTTCTAGTGTTCTAATTTTTTTATCGCACACAGGAAAATGGCAACATCCCGGCCCCACAGGAGCTGGAGACGTTTCTGTCTCCAGATGAGAAAAGTAAAGAGAAGATTGTTACCACGTAAGTGTCTACGAAGAATAATTTTACGACTATGACTAAAAAAAATTTGTGAGTAAACTGCTTAAAATATTGTGGAAAAATCTGAGGAAAAAAAATCTTAATGTTTGGAAAACCCATGATTTATTTTTTTACTTTTTTAACAAAAAGGAAGTATGTAGTTGAACTGCATCAATGTATCAGTGAAAGGTTTATAAACAAACAAAGAAAAACAATTTTATTTTTTCATATATTTACAACAGTTATTTAGACAATGTTTTTATTATCCAGGTATAACATGACCAAAGATGTGGAATCAGCAGAGTTTGATCCATTCACCGAGAGGAAACTAGAAAATCCCACATCGTAAGTATGATTTCATCAGCGTTAACTAACTAAACTTTCCTTTGAGAATTTTATTGAAATATAATGTTTGCAACAAGAGCGTTTTTTCCCAAATCAATAGTTTTAGATTAGTTATATCAAACATATAGCAATACGTAATAAACTCAATTATTAGCAACAGCTCAATTTGTCATTTCTCTTTAATCAAATTTGATCTTTCACATCAACAAAAGAAGCCTTAAAATCGATTAATGATTAATCTAATATAAAACTAATATAAAAATTTCACTTTAAAAAACGGATTGAGATATAATTTACTTTAATGGATAAACTCGAGTTATTTATAAACCAGTCATCAAAAAGTTTCAACTTGAATGAATCCTTAATATATCGGGGTTAGATCAAAATTCATTGCAGTTTGACATATTGTGGTAACCTGACGTGCAGCCGTGTGAACCATAACGGTAAGACCAGAGACAAGGCATTAGAGTTCATTTTCTACATTATTCCGACCGGGAATCGAAACCGGGACCTTAGAGATGGCAACATCTTGAAACCGGCATGCGAATCACTAGGTTACGGAGATACCTATACTATTTATTTAAAACTTATCTAATATATTTTTGGATTTTCAGAAACATGGACACCCTAACTCATCTCCTAAAAGCTTCTCTTGGCACCGGTATTCTTGCCATGCCGTTGGCATTTAAGAACGCTGGTCTCATCTTCGGTATATTCTTCACAATCCTTGTTGCAGTCATCTGCACTCACTGCTCGTATATTCTCGTAAGTAATCGATGACATGCTATTATTTACAATAAAATACATTTATAAACAATGTTTAATTTACCATTGAATTGATTGAAATTAATTCTGTTCACCCCAACTGAACTGTTTCAATCGTTATGTATATGTTAATATGCTTCGCATTATGTTAATACCTTTTTTTATTTAAAGTCTTAATAGTGTTGTATTTTATGGTCAATTTACGGATAATTATTTGTTGTAAATAAGCCATGACACACAGTTAAGTAGTAGCTTAGCGAGTTATTATTTTGCCACAATTTTAATATTGATTATGTTAAAAAGATAAATTTAAATGAAATAAAATTCATTTAATATATAGCGACATTTTCATGCATCAAAAAAACTATACATTTTACAATAATATATATATTTAAACAAATTAGGCTTCCATTTCAGACAGTAGTATAATTAGAAATTTTATCAAATAATTTATTAAATAAGAAACATACAATACCTAAATAAATCAGCTTCCCAGTGTGGTACTATTCAAACTTTAAACGTTAACCGAGAAATTCTTGCAATTGCGAACGCTGGCGCGAATGTAGCATTAGCGACCTTATGATGCATAATGGCAAACGCAAAGTTACTGAACTAGGTAGGTATGTAGTTTTGAATATTACTTCTATTTAACGCCAATGCAACGGTGCGTGAGGAGGGTGGTCGGGATCGTTCAGTAAACAAATAAATGAGACAACCTTTTCGGACGATACTTATTTAATTACTAATTTTATAGAATTATTACATAGGTAAAATGCTTAGAGTGCAATATGATGCTTACCACTACTACTGGAACTTAGTGTCCCTTACTATCTAATATTACTCACTTCACCTCCGGGGGTGAAAGAAAAAAAAATGTTTACACAAAATTTTTTTTTGACAAAACATTTATAATTCATTTATATTAATCATCTATAACTACTGATAATAGGGTCGTGTCCTATTTTTATGAACTAATTTTATCTTATTATATGTACTTATTCTAACAATACATCCTAAGTCTTCTATCACTTTATATGGACCTTTATACAGAGGATCTAATTTTTTGCCTGTCTCATTTCTTAAAATTACTAAATCATTTTTATTATATTTTATTGACTTTACATAAGAATCATACTGCATTTTTCGCTTCTGTTTACTACATAATAGATTTTTTTTTGCATCAGCATGAGCTATTTGTAATCTATATTTCAACTGTAATGGATAATCATCAGTATTGTATAATGGTTCTATGGTATCTAAAAGTTTAGAAGGTATGCGGCATAATTTACCAAATACTAATTCATATGGCGTATAATTTGTTGCTGAATGGACCGTGTTGTTAAAACTAAAGCACCAAAATGGTAACCAGTGGCTCCATGTATCGGAATAACTTCCACATTGTATTCTTAAAAACGTACCTAGTGTTTTGTGAGCATTTTCAAGAGCGCCGATAGATTGATGATGATACGCCGTGGAGGATAGTTTATCAATATTAAAAATTTTACATACCTCATTCATTACTGCAGACATAAATTCTGTCCCCTGATCGGTAGCTATAGCTATGGGTATACCAAATCTAAGAATGAAATGACGGGCAAATGTATCAGCAATGGTACTGGTTTCTTTATTTTTCAAAGGGAATGCTTGAACAAATTTTGTCAATTCACACTGTATGGTCAATATATAGCGATTATCCTCTATGTCTCTATCTAATGGTCCTACTACATCTAAATATATCTTATCTAAAGCCGAGGAGGCCGTCGTGGTTATCTCCATCGGTTCTTTGACGTACTTAAAGTATTTCATTTTTTGACATTTGTCGCAATTTTTAATATAGTCTTGGACGTCCTTTTCTAGATTTGGCCAATAATAACGTCTTTTTATAGTATTTACCATTCTCCGTACACCAGCATGTCCACTGGACGGTAGTAAATGAAAGTCATTTAAAATAATTGTCTTGTCATTATCATTAGTTATTTTTTTAACTCCTCGTAATATACATATTCGTGGTCCGGACCAATTCGATAATGATTTTATCTCATCACAAATATTCTTTATAAAATCTATATTATTCTCATCTTTTATTATGCATATTTCATCGATACGTATCTTAGAACAAAATAAAATTAATTTCTGCACAAATTCGGCTCGCGAGAAATGCGCCTTGAAATTGATATTAATACATAATAGTTTTTTACTTGCTATAAATGCAAAACATTCCGATTCTTCACTAACCATATTCCTATCTCTTAGTCGTTTAAGCACATCACTTTCCATTAAGATCATTTCTACTGACTCACGTGGTTTCCTTAATATATCTACAATTCTTGGTTGATCAGGCCAATAATTGGTAGATTTATTCAGGTCCATGTTGCTTACTCCTATTTGCTTCGCATCATTAAGTTTCTTCTTTTGCGCCCTAGTCATTACACTAACAACTTCCTTATTTATATTTTTTAAGTCGTTTGACGTTAAGATAATTCTTGACAGAGCATCTGCAATAGCATTTTCTTTGCCTTTAATATACACAATTTTGAAATCATATTCCTCTAAGGTTAATCTAAATTTAAGTAGTCTGCTCGATGGGTCTTTTATACTGAAAAGATATACAAGAGGTTTATGGTCTGTCATAATAGTAAAAGATCTGCCATACACATAAGGCCTAAAATATTTAACTGCCCATACAATCGCAAGAAGCTCTTTTTGTATCGTTGGGTAATTCTTTTCGGCTTTATTTAAGGGCCTACTAGCATAAGCAACAGGCCTCATATCTTTGTTGCATAATACTGCTCCTAAAGCTATACCGGAAGCATCAGTCTGAATTATGAATTCGTTTTGTTCTGAGAAATCGGGATATTGTAATACTGGGGGATTCATTAACGAATTTTTTAAAAAGGTAAAATATTTTTGGCATTCATCCGTCCAGATAAATGGTTCGTTTTTCTTACATAACTTATTTAATGGTGTTGTTATATTAGCAAATGATTTTATAAATTTCCTGTAATAGTTACAAAATGCTATAAAGCGTTTAATTTCATCTACATTTTGGGGTTTTGGGTAGTTTTGCAATATCTTAATATTTTCAGGATCAGGTGAAACTCCTTTTTCAGATACAATATGTCCTAAATACAGAATTTGTTTTTTGAGAAATTCACATTTTTTCGGGTTCCATTTTAAATTTACTTTTCTAAGTCTTTCCAAAACAAATATCAAATTTTGATTGTGCAGTGTCAAATTACGTCCAAAAACAATAAGATCATCTTGGTACACAAAACATTTTTCAAATGACAGTCCAGACATAGCAACTGACATCATTCGGCTAAATGCATTTGCACTAATCTTAAGTCCCATTGGTAGGCGTTTCATCTGATACTGTCCTGAGCTTGTTGTAAATGCTGTTAGCTTACGACTGTCCGGGGTAAGAGCTACCTGGTAGTACCCTTGGTAAAGATCAAGATGGCTGAAATAAATAGCACCAGAAAGAGAGTCTAAGATTTCATTGATATTTGGTAAAGGGAATTTATTGTTACAAATAGTTTCGTTCAATTTCCTATAATCTATGACTAATCGCCATTTCTTTTCTTTGCTTTCTGAATTTTTTTTTGGTACTAATAATATAGGACTAGACCATTCACTATTGCTTTTTTCTATTATGTCATTATCTATCATTTCGCTGATCTGATGATTTATTTCAGGCTTTAAAGCTTGTGGTAATCTATAAGGTTTGATATAGATAGGTGAGGAATTGTAATTAGGAGTTATAGATTGTTCGTATATATTTGTTGTTGTTAATTGGTCACCTGGTACATGAAAGATATCAGAATATTTTGTGCAAATAGATTCAATAGACTTCTTCTCTTCGTTATCTAAGTAATTTAAGTTTAAATCGCCTAATCAACGTCTACATTGCACTTGTTAAAATCGCAAATATTATAATCACTTAAAAGATGTAACTCAGGTACAAAATATGGTAAACATATTTCTTTTTCGGTTACGTTAAGAATTTTTATAGGAATTCGATTGTTTTTTACTTTTGCTATTGAACTTGCTAGAAACACGTCTTTTGTAAGTTCTTTTCCGCATGTTATAACATCATCGTTAAAATTTTCTTCTACCTCGATAAAGTATATAGATTCACAACGAGCAGGGATTTTTAGAACATAGTTAGTCCTATCACATTGGTTAATTAAATCAAAAAGATGTTCTATTCCATTATTGTAAAGTGATAATGTATTTCTATTTATATTTATAGTAGCTTCGTATTTAATCAGAAAATCTAAGCCAAGAATCCCGTCAGCTTTTAGTGGTAATGAGTTAAAAATAAGAAAATTATGTTGAAATTTTATATCACTACCTATGCTGAGATTTAAGTTAATATAGCCTTGAGAATGTGCCTGTCCTCCAATGCCGTTTATTATAGTATTATCTTTATGTATTGGTACACTATTAGGTACTGCTTCACTTTTTATGACCGATAAAGTGGCACCAGTATCTATAAGCCAATAATATCTGACATTATTTAAGTAAAGTACTAAATATTTAGCCTTACCACTACATGACAGAATACAGTGCTTAAATTCGAAAAAACTGATTGGAATCTGTAACTACTGAGCTCGATTTAAGATTTTGGTTAGGTTCTGAATCGTTAACCTGTTCAGTTGTAAAAATATTTCTGCCATTCGTATTTCTTTTATAATATACGTTTCTGTTATTACTTCTGCCTCTTTGAATATTATTAGAAGATGAATGACGATTTTGACCTCTATATTTAGAGTAATTTTTGTGTCTTGCAGGCATGTGATAATGGCTAGTATATTAACCATAGTTAGCGTTGTTATTATTATAGTTGCCTCTTGATATGTAATACCCGCGCGAACGATTATTATTATTGAATCCACGACCGTATTTAGATACATGCAAAATGTTACCTGACGGTGATGGAAATACCATCGTGTCCTCGTCCTTGGCTGCTTGTATAGCATCCTTCAGACTGCTGTAGTTACGCGCGTTTATGATTGTAGCTAATCTGCCGTTGCGAAGTCCATCTGAAAACCGTTTTATAGCGATTTTTTCATTTAAAGGCTTCAATATAGAGAAGGCATTTGAGTTGCCATCTACTTGTGCAATTGTCATTTCCGTGAATAATTTTTCAATCTCATTAGCATAATTGTCAATAGATTTTGAACCCTGTCTTGCATGTTGTAATTGTGTTTGAATTGCAATAAAAGATTTCATTGGTAATAACTGTGATTTTAGATCCTTGATTAAGTCCTCCATTTTGTTATAACTACTCGCCATACGTAGCTTTGCATTCCCGGACAATCTGATTTAAAGAATAAATGTTATTAAAAGGGTTTTACCTTTTTCGTCGATCATGTTTGCGTACATTTCAACGGAGTCTATAAGTCGCTTCGTTGTCTCCTCCGCACCGTCCATTACTGGAATCAAACTACACGCCACCTTAAGATCAAATTCCATTTTGTCAGATTGAGGTTCACGTATACACAAATTAATAATTTCCCCGTATACCTTCTGAACTTTTTGAAAAATATCGATAGCTGCTGCTATAATTTTTGTATTCTCGTTTGATTTTAAGGTAAAAAATATTTCTTTGCAACTATCATATAAATTGTTCGTTTCTTTTAATTTAACTTCAGTGGTTTTGCATGAATACCGACTTCGTCCTTTTTTTATAAAATATTTTCTTATCTCAGTTAAATTATCATAATACTCTATTAAGCTATCGATCATATTTAGAATACAAAGACATTATTATATATTTTTTTTTTTGTTTTTTTTACACATATTATTTTTAGTATAAATCACTTAGTTGGTTTTAACAGCATAATATTGTACTTATTTCATTATTATATAATAAAATAATTAACTAATTACTTAACATAAAACTATTATTAATACATCGTCCTTGATAACTTATAACGAAAACAAGTAAGAATGTCAACCGTCAGCAGTTTACGCTCGTAGTATCAAATTCGTTGAGTGTTTGTGCACGCTTTTAGTAACTTTTATGTCGTCACAGAATAAAAAAAAATCACATTCTATAATATTTACCATATAAAATGTTAAATCTTGGGAACTCACATATTCAGGCAGTGTCTTCGGCGGTCATTCGTCTACGTCCTCGAATGGAAGCTCGGATGCGTTGCATGGCATGCAATCCTATTTCTTCCTGCATCCAGCGGCGATGGCATTTTTTATATATTCTTGCCACAACATATAATAAAAGTATTATTGATATAGTCACCACGATATATACTCCGATGTTGATGTTATTCATGTGTCCACCGATGTCCTTCAACGTCGCGTCGTTGTTTCCACCAGCTGCATTTTGACTGACGAAGACGTCTTCTTTTTCAACAGTCGATCTACACATTTTTGGGATATTCTATTTCGTCTTGTTGTTTTCTTGCCTTCGGATCTTGATGGCGCATGGCAGGGTCGCCATGAGGTGGGTGGTCGGGATCGTTCAGTAAACAAATAAATGAGACAACCTTTTCGGACGATACTTATTTAATTACTAATTTTATTTATTACATAGGTAAAATGCTTAGAGTGCAATATGATGCTTACCACTACTACTGGAACTTAGTGTCCCTTACTATCTAATATTACTTACTTCAATGAGCACTTTATTTAAGTTCTCACAAACCAAAGCTATTATATAAGATATCCCAATTATATTACTCTGTTCTGTGACATTACTAATTTTGAAAGTATTGCCATGAATTCGAACACTCATAAATTATTATTATTGAAGTTACATCGAAAGTCATCGATCATTGGAGCTCTCCATACCTCAGATATGTACATAGTTTAAACAAAATCGCTTTGTCTATGTATACTTAAATTCAAAAGGAAGGTTTTTTTGTATAATACATAACTATGCGGGCGAAGCCGCTGGCAGAAAGCTAGAAAACTATATAATAGGCATAATGTGCTCAAACAATGGACTAATCTGTGACTCGCTCAGATTAATTTTATAGTACAAACAAATGATATATTGAGATAATCGCTCTTCTTGTCCCCAGATAAAATGCGCTCACGTCCTTTATAAGAAAACCAGGAGAACTAACATGACGTTTCCCGAAGTAGGCGAAGCGTCATTTGCCAACGGACCTCAAGCTTTACGAAGATTTGCATACTCATTTAAGTAAGCATAATGATATTTGTGACCGTTTATTTTTGTTCATCTTTCATGACAATAATGACAAATTTAGAATGCAAGTATGAGAGTTTAACGTGTTTTTTTTCTTGATATTTGCAGAATATTTATACTCGTCAGTCTATTCCTCACCTACTTCGGGACTTGCTCGGTATACACGGTCATTGTAGCGAAAAACATATTACAAGTAAGTTATCTCTGATGTTCAGATGTAGACACATTATTGTTTATTTATATTATAGCACTTTACTTATAGTATATTTTAATTCAAAATGTTCTATTTTAGTAACTTAATTTGATTATACTTTTATTTTATCCGTTTGACTTTTGTTATTTACAACTTTGTTAATTTTGATTGTTTTCTTCAGGTTGTGGCTTACTATATGGACACCAAAGAAGAAGACGTCGAAATCAGAATATTCATCATAGCACTTCTTTTACCCCTCATATTCATGGCATGGGTTCGTAACCTCAAATATCTTGCTCCGATTTCTATGATTGCCAACGTATTTATGGGGCTAGGTTTAGGAATCACATTTTATTACATCGTCGGAACTGGGGAACTGAAAGTTGACAATATCAAGAATATGTTAATCAAACCGCCTGGTGAATGGGCAGAGTTCTTTTCACTCAGTATATTTGCCATGGAGGCCATCGGTGTCGTGATGCCTCTCGAGAATGCCATGAAAACTCCTAAGTCTATGCTCGGGATCTGCGGTGTCCTGAACAAAGGGATGTCTGGAGTGACACTGGTTTACATTCTCCTTGGATTCCTTGGATACCTACGCTTTGGTGAAGAAGTGAAAGACTCCATCACACTCAATCTGGATGAAACTCAAATGTAAGTTTTGTACTTATCTGTGAACCTTACATTTCAATTAGTATTTGTAGCCCTATGTTTCGCATTAAGACCAGGATAAGCAACCTGTGTAAACCTAAAAAAGGTATTTAATGTTTATTTGTTCTGTTCACAAAACTCGAAAGGAGTTATAGGTTGAACTGGATTTATTTCAATCACGCCACAATTGAAAGTAGCCGCATTTGCTATGAATTTATTAGGGATCATCCATAAATTACGTCACACTTTAGGAGGGGGGGGGGACTAACTGTGACGTTAGAACAATATTTTTTTCACCTTTACAAATAGGTACTTGTTTATAGATTGGATGTACAATATAAATTAGATTAATTAGCAAAGTACTTGTATATAAGCCAAAACGAGTCTTACGACTGATCGGTAAGTACTTCTTTATTTCTAGTAACAAAAATACTTACACTTAATGTGTTTTTTGTTACAGTCCTGCTCAAATCGTCAAGATTGCTATTGCAATAGCAGTATACTGCACCTACGGACTCCAATTCTTCGTTTGCATTGAAATAATGTGGAATGCTATCAAAGACAAATTCACCAAACGACCAGATCTTGCCGATTACATCATGAGAACCATCATGGTCACAGCTTGCGTGCTACTGGCTGTCGCCGTGCCAACAATTGGCCCTTTCATGGGTGTCATTGGAGCTTTCTGCTTTTCCATCCTCGGACTAATAGCTCCTGCCTTCATCGAAGTTGTCACATACTGGGATATCGGATTCGGACCGGGCAAATTTCTCATCTGGAAGAATGTTTTAGTTCTAATCTTTGGACTATTCGCACTTATTTTTGGTACCAAGGATGCCATTATCAAAATTGTACAATTAAACACTGCAAAAAAATAATTGACGACTAATTATTGTATTAAATTTGAAATGTCTGTGTTATTCATAGCTAAGTGCGGCAGTTAGCATATAAGGCTTTCCGAGTTTTTGATGTTTAAGTTTTAAGTTTTTTAGACCAATTTTGCTGTGCTGTTACATTGCGGGTGGAATGATTTTAAAATTAGTTATGGTGCTATAATTTATGTTGGTGTGACAATATACATATTGTTTACCAAATATAACACTTTGATAGTACCTAGTTAATGTGTAAACAGTCTGGGTGATGTCTGTGAGTTTAGATTAATAAAATAAATTTTCGATTACATTCCCAACCCAGATTTTATATGAGAATTTGAATAAAAGTACATTTGATACTATTTAAATTGTATACACTGGACGTTAATCCAAATATTTATAAATTTTACACTTATTTAAAAAGAACTAAATTGTAATTATTAACATTTCTAATAATAAGCGAAGAGTATAAAGGTACACGGAGGATGGTTAATAGGTTTTTAGACAGCCAAGCCAAATATTATTATAATAATATAAAGCAATGCTCCAACATCATCATAACACCAAATCACTTTCATTTTAAAATTACACTTAATGAAGAACTTCGAAATGCATCCGAATCAATATTAATTAGATAAGATTTTATGAAATGCATGGAGTACAAGAAGTGACCCCGTTGTTCCCAGGTTTCTGGGTGAAATACAGGGCAAAATCGTTCATACCCGTATAGTAAAGAGGGTATTACTGCATTTAAATAATAAACGTATACGACAGATAAAATCTAGTAAAATGTTCTTTTCTTTTATTAAATCCTATGCAATGCTTAGCTCTGTATCTCAAAATATTTAAAATAAACAATTGTTTAAGAGGCTAATACCAATTTTTTGAATGCCAGCTGTATTATTTACCTGTTTTAGTCTGTCTCTCAAGTTCTAAATTACTATTCATACGAGGAATACAAATGGTATATAACAGACCCTTTTAAAAAATGTAAGTTATAAAATGTGTTTTACATTGGAAGTGTAATGTATTAAAATATAATTATTTATAAATATAATTTTCTTCATTAGCTTTGAGATTTGGTCAACTTGGTCCTAGTTAGGTTTGTACTTAACAAGTACGTTTATAATATGTACATATTGTTATGAATTTACATACCTAAAAACAAATTATAATGGGACTAAAATGTTTTAATGACAAAGTGACCTACAAATATACCGTAAACCATATTTCAATAGACATAAAGTGCAATTATATCTATTGCATCGTTATAAGAATAGGAAGTTTTTGGAAAATTTTATTTATTGGCGAAATTAATAATTTTTCTTTACTTTAAGTTTTGATGTACACTTTTAAAAAGATTTATAAGTGTCTTCCTTTATTTATAACTATGCATAAATATGTTAATCCTACTGTTAGTAGATTTTTTATTATAAAAATTCTAATGAAACTTTGTTAGCCTCAAATAACAAATAAATATGGAGAAAAATAATTTTACATATGGCCTAGTCAATTTAAAAGTTAACATAAAAAAATAGTAAATAAACCAAAATCACATATTAAAAAAAACAAATAATATGACTATAGTCAGCCACATAAAATACGTCGCCTATTAGTTTACAAGCGTATTAAACACATGTTAACTAAAAACATATAACATTTAATTTAGTCAGATTCTTGTTTTTATTTGAGGTACAATCACAGGTACAACAATATTGTCACAGCTTAGGTACGTGTAATATTACGTACGGCTAAATATAATGACATATTTTATTTCCCGAACATAACTTTATATATAAGTTCATGTAACGTTAGGACGTTAATCAAATTATAAGTTCCTATTCGCGTTTATTACAACACAAAAAAAATGTGAATTATCTGTTGTCATGATGGAATCTGAGATTAATACCTAGATTGTTATATATAGGTATCGTTTAACAAATACATGTCACAATTCACAGTAATAGTTTAATGCACGGCATGTAAGTTTATCCATAATGATGATTTACAGCGCGGGTTCCGGTGTCCATTACGTCGTTGCTATGGTTACGCGCTGCACCCAGATTAAGACTAGGCAATCGCCATTTTGATTAAACATACCTTCTGTGCATTACCACCTTTTTTTATTTCAGGATATTGTCTTATATTTATGTAACGAGTTCATATATTTTTAGTTTTTATTAGTAATAATTTCCAATTTATATAATTTCGTGACAACAAAATGATAATTTGGCACTCTGTGAAACATTTATTAGATGTAAATTTTAAAATGTTTTAAATAAATCGAAATTTTAGGCGGACCAAATAAATATATTATTATCACGCTATCACGCAATTTTTCAATATCGCCTTCTGTTTATTAGTAGCTATAAGACGTGGCAACCTTTTTCTGGTTTTGATATTAATATTATTATTTGGCCAACAAAATCAAAAAGCCTGTACCTACATCTTGTTTTATTTCGGACAGAAACAATCCTCATGGGGATAAAATTAATGTTATTACCTAATAGGTAATAATTTTTCAAACCTAAAAACAGAGGCGTCGCTAGACGATGGTCCAGGGAGGGGGGTCCCCCCTCCCTGGACTATAAACTGAGTTGATTATAAAGAATGAGCTAAGTATGAATTGTAGCCAAAGTCAAGAGCACATGAAGCTTTTTACATGTAGCACGAGCCTTACATATAACAGAGTCCAAATTATAAAGTTACAAGAGCTCTGACTGTAGAATATTTATTTATTCTTGATAAGTTAGAACATTTATTAGAAAAATAGAATAAAAATATTAAGAAACTCTAGGGCCAGTCAGCTGCCCCTTCTGTCCCCACCTTGGCGATGCCCTTGCCTAGAAAGATAACCATATTAGAACATACGTAAAGATGAGCAAACCTACGCCTCGGAGGCGGCGAGATATGATAAATTTTATAAAAAAAATAGCAGTTAATGCAGTCTAATTACTGTTTTGGGAGAACAATTATGGCATAAAATAACTATTTTTATGTTCGACCCGTCGTTATAAGTGTGTTTTTTATGCCATTTAAGCTGTGAATTCTTTATGCTATTAAGAAAACTAAGTTTTTTCACTAAGGTTAGGTTAGAGCAGAGGCTCTCAAACAATTCTATCTCGTAGACATTTTAAAAAATTTGCTGTTTCGGTGGTCCCCCTGCTGCTACATTTTTACCATATTCCCTAAATTCGTCCAAAATGTGAAGATCTAACGATAGAAATTGGCGTCGCGGGTGAGTTCCGTAGACCCCCGTTGAATCCCTCGTGGACCCCTGGGGGTTCACCTGGACCACTTAGGGAATCACTGGGTTAGAGTATGACAAAAAACGCACGAGCCGAGCGCGCAAAGTGAGCGTACTGCGGCAGCGGCCGGTGAAGTGCCAAAAGCGAATAGCTATTGTCAAATGAAACAACTAGTTAAACCAGTTAATACTCAGAATGTGTCGTGGCTTTTCTTCATTATCACAACGTTAAGGTCGAATAGAATGTCAGCCACGATTGCCACAACGCTTTGTGAACAATTTTTTCACTCAATGAGCAATTTCGAACTTTGACCGTAATACATTTATAAAAGGAGGTATCATGACATAAGTACTAATTGATAGACAACGCACTGGCTAAACCGCTGGTCGTAGAGACTTGAAATTTGGAGGATACATTCGTCTTATAACGTAATGGTGTACTTCGAACTGTTACAAGGGACTCTGAGAATCACTTTTTAAAAAAAGATTTTAAGCCCATAACATAATTTATTTAACGAGACCGATTCCGAAGGTGGTTGCGCAGCGACTGACTGGCCAACCGTTCTATGCAATGTCGTCACAGCACGATTGCTCAGTCAGCAGATTTGGGCAACCTCCTCAGCACAAACCCTTACATATTATATATATAATAACCCCCCCTTTAAGAGGAAACTTACCCCAAAAGAATGAAATTAAGAAAATGTAAGTTTCCGTGACTATTGTACACGTAATCGAGGAGCAGAAATTGCGACGGGGTTATCTGAGTTTTCATCTATGGATGTGGTAACTTCAGGGTTTCTACTGAGGCGTTTACATAATTTGCATTTAATACAGAAATAGAAAATAATACAAATAACTATAATAATACTAAAAATATTTAAAACAGTAAAAGCGACATGATCATTAATAGATGGATTTTCCAAAACTAGATCTTGAGATATCTGGTTAGTGACTGATTTGTAAGTGTGAGTTTGGGGCTAGTTACCCTGTTTGTTAGACTGCTTAGATACAGTGAAGGCATGTCTATAAGTTTGGGGCTGGTTACCCTGTTTGTTAGACTGCTTAGATAAAGAGAAGGCATGTCTAGAAGTTTGGGGCTGGATACCCTGTTTGTTAGACTGCATGGATACAGAGATAGCATGTCTATGAGTTTGGGGCTGGTTACCCTGTTTGTTAGACTGCTTAGATACAGAGAAGGCATGTCTATAAGTTTGGGGCTGGTTACCCTGTTTGTTAGACAGCATGTTTGACTTTAAAATGGCTGATCTAGAAGTTTTGGGGCTGGATACCCTGTTTGTTAGATCGCAAGTTTGATTCTATAGTGGCTGATCTAGAAGTTTTGGGCTGGATACCCTGTTTGTTAGATCGCAAGTTTGATTCTATAGTGGCTGATCTAGAAGTTTGGGGCTGGATACCCTGTTGTTAGATCGCGGATTTGAATTTATCGGATTCGGTGATTCTGATGTGGTATCGACTTTCGTTTTCTTCTCTCCCGCACGATACCAGACGAGAGAGCCATTTAGTTTAAATTGTTGTTATCGGTTTCGTCGATACCTTCGTCATCATGAGAATTTACAGCATGGATAGGCTGACGCTTCTGAAAATATGTATTAGGATTTTCACGAATAGGTTGATTAAATTGAGAGAAACGCCTAGTTATTATATTCGCGTTTGCGACAATTTTCGATATTGTGTCCCGGAATCTTACAATATCGGCACACGGAACTAGGACTGGACGCGAATGAATGTTTTGGTAGATAATCTGACGGACGGTTAGGTTGTCGCGGGAATGGCCTATTATTTTGTTGACGAGGACGGGCATAATTTTGGAAATGGTTAGGGTTACGGCGCGTCGTGGCTAAAAGGATCTTTTCTTCTGAAACCGCGAAGTTAATTGCCTCATTCAATGTTTCTGGATCGCGACATCGGACTACCGTTGAAAGTTGAGAATTAAGACCGATAATAAATGTATGTAGAGCGAGATCTTGCATAGCAGCGACACGACCGGCCAGTTCACCTTTTTTCTTTGTTGGAATAGAGATATTTATTTCTGTTAGTAATTTCGATAGGCATGACTCAATACGTAATGCAAACTGGTTGGCCGTTTCACCTGATAATTGTCTGCACTCTTGCAATTCAGAGAGCAGGGCAGCATAGTGCTTGCGTTCACCATATTGGGATTTTAAAAAGCTTTCAAGTTGGTTCCAGTTTTCAAATTCTTTTATCGAGCAGGCACTCTCTGCTCGGCCTTCCAGTTGGCTTAGAATATATTTAAGTAAAATGTCTTCCTGAGACGAGGAAGCTAGGTTAATTGCGTTACGACAATTATTAAGGAATGCATTTAGTTTTTCTCTACTTCCGTCGTATTTGTTTATGAATTTGATTAAAATATTTAAATCTATTTGTGACATTGTGGTGAGAGTGGGCGTTGGTGCTTTTGATGGCCCAGGTTCCTCTTTACTATCTTTAGGCATTCAGTAAAATTCCGTTCACAAATAGAGTTAAATGATTACACAGAATATGCAACAAAGTAACAATTATAACACAAGGTAGAATAAAAATAAAAGAATAAAACAAAAGAGTCTATGTGGAACAATGACTTGACTTACAGCAACAATGTTGCGGCTACGGCGACGACGGGATGCCTTGATTGCATTCTTGTGCGATAA